CAAAAATAAAACTGAGATCTTGGAAGCTGGTGCAATTGAAGTTCTTACTGATAAAATCTCTGAAGCTCTATCCCAATTCACTCAGGTATTCAATGTCTTACTGGGTTCTTATATTTTTCTGTTTATTTTCCTGTTTAATAGATGTGTCCCCTCATCAATGTCTTACTGGGTTCTTATCGTGCGCATTTTATTGCCTGCTTTCTAATTCCTTTCCTGCAGATTGATTTTAACGAGGATGGCAGCATATGGGTTTGTGCTTTGCTACTGGCAATCTTATTTCAAGATAGAGACATCATTCGAGCACATGCCACGATGAAGGCGATACCAGTGCTTGCAAATTTGCTGAAGTCAGAGGAGTCGGCAAACAGATACTTTGCTGCACAGGCCATAGCCAGTCTTGTTTGTAATGGTAGCAGGGGAACTCTTCTCTCGGTTGCGAATTCAGGGGCAGCTGCAGGGCTCATATCTTTGCTTGGTTGTGCTGATGATGACATGCGGGACCTTATTGAGCTCTCAGAGGAGTTCACTTTGTTACGCAATCCAGATCAAGTTGCTCTCGAGAGATTGTTTAGGGTGGATGATATTAGGACCGGGGCGACCTCTAGGAAAGCTATACCAGCTCTCGTTGATTTGCTAAAACCAATTCCAGATCGCCCAGGTGCGCCTTTTCTTGCTCTGGGGCTTATGATGCAGCTGGCCCGAGATTGTCCCTCCAACAAGATTGTTATGGTTGAATCGGGAGCGCTTGAAGCATTGACTAAATATCTCTCTCTTGGCCCACAAGATGCGACAGAAGAAGCTGCCACTGATTTATTAGGTATCCTATTTAGTACTCCTGAAATTCGGAGACACGAATCTTCATATGGAGCTGTTGGCCAGCTTATAGCAGTATTACGGTTGGGTGGAAGAGGGGCAAGGTATAGTGCTGCCAAAGCCTTGGAAAACTTGTTCTCAGCGGATCATATAAGAAACGCTGAATCTGCTAGACAGGCGGTTCAACCTTTGGTAGAGATTATAGATACTGGTCTTGAGAAGGAGCAACATGCTGCCATTGCAGCCCTTGTTCGATTGCTCAGTGAAAACCCATCCCGAGCTTTCACAGTTTCGGATGTCGAGCTGAATGCAGTTGATGTTATGTGCAAAATCCTTTCGTCGAATTGTTCGATGGAGCTGAAGGGGGATGCTGCTGAATTATGTTCTGTTCTTTTCGGGAATACGAGAATAAGATCTACAGTTGCTGCAGCTCGCTGTGTGGAGCCTTTGGTTTCTCTTCTGGTTACGGAATTTAGTCCAGCTCATCATTCGGTTGTTCGTGCATTAGATAAACTAGTCGACGATGAGCAGCTTGCGGAACTGGTTGCTGCACACGGGGCTGTCGTCCCCCTCGTGGGCCTTCTCTATGGTCGGAGTTATTTGCTTCACGAGGCGATTTCTAGGGCACTTGTGAAGTTAGGGAAAGATAGGCCTTCTTGTAAGATGGAAATGGTAAAAGCTGGGGTTATTGAGTGCGTGCTCGATATTCTCCACGAAGCACCGGATTTCCTCTGTGCTGCATTTGCTGAATTGTTAAGGATACTCACCAATAACGCTAGCATTGCTAAGGGACCATCTGCGGCTAAAGTGGTCGAGCCTCTTTTTTCACTGCTGACGAGACCCGAGTTTGGACCCGACGGGCAACATAGTGCTCTGCAGGTCCTCGTAAACGTCTTGGAACATCCACAGTGTCGTGCTGATTACAACTTGACACCTCAGCAAGCGGTCGAGCCTCTAATTCCTTTACTCGACTCTCCTGCTCCAGCTGTGCAGCAATTGGCAGCTGAGCTTCTCTCGCACATGCTCTCGGAGGAGCATCTTCAGAAGGATCCCGTAACGCAGCAAGTAATTGGGCCTTTAGTACGAGTGGTTGGTTCGGGTATACCTATTTTGCAGCAGAGGGCCGTTAAGGCTCTTGTTTGTCTCTCGGTGACTTGTCCGAATGAAATAGCGAAAGAAGGTGGGGTTGCCGAAATTTCTAAAGTGCTACTATACGCTGATCCTTCGGTTCCTCACTCGTTGTGGGAGTCGGCTGCTTCTGTCCTATCCAGTATTTTGCAATTTAGCTCCGAGTTTTATCTCGAAGTGCCCGTCGCCGTTTTAGTGAGATTGCTCCGTTCTGGCTCGGAAACCACAGTACTCGGGGCATTGAACGCTCTACTCGTGTTGGAAAGCGACGACTCTACCAGTGCTCAGGCAATGGCTGAAAGTGGGGCAATCGAGGCTCTTTTGGAGCTTCTCAGATGCCATCTTTGCGAAGAAACCGCTGCGAGACTGCTCGAGGTATTGCTGAACAATGTGAAGATCAGAGATACGAAAGCTACCAAGTCAGCGATTGTGCCGTTGTCACAGTACCTCTTGGACCCACAAACCCAAGGTCAACAAGCCAGGTTATTGGCGACTCTCGCACTTGGCGATTTGTTCCAAAACGAGGCCCTTGCTCGAACAGCGGACGCTGTTTCCGCCTGCCGAGCCTTGGTTAATCTGCTCGAGGATCAGCCTACCGAAGAGATGAAAGTCGTGGCAATATGTGCCTTACAGAATCTTGTTATGTATAGCCGAGCAAATAAGAGGGCAGTTGCAGAGGCTGGTGGTGTGCAGGTTCTGCTTGATTTGATCGGTTCAAGTGATCCCGACACGTCTATACAAGCAGCCATGTTTGTTAAGCTTCTCTTTTCCAACAATACCATTCAAGAGTATGCTTCAAGCGAGACTGTCAGAGCTATTACTGGTAAGTTCCCTTTCTATTATTGGCCCTGTTTGGTAACATAGTAAGCTTATCAGCCATTTTAGCTTATTTGACCACTATTAGCTATTTAACTTGGTTAAACAATCAATAAGAGTGTTTGATTAATTAGTTTCTTGTAACAACTTATTGCTCCAAAATGCTAAAATTCAAAAAGCTGCTTAAAACAGCTTTTTCGATAAGCTTTTTGAAAAAGTCATTTTGCATATAATCAGCTATCAACTATCAGCTAATTTACCAAACACTTTTCTGCAATCAGCTAGTCAAACCCACTAACCCAATCAGCTAATAACTATTTACCAAACACCCCCATTATTATCAAGCTTTGGTAGAAAAAGTGAAAGATACACTTTTCCGGTCATTAATCCCCCAACAATACCGTTATTTCTTATTGATCTAGAAAGAACTAATTAGTTTATTGCGTCTTTGTAGCTGCAATTGAGAAAGACTTGTGGGCAAGCGGAACTGTAAATGAAGAGTATCTGAAGGCTCTGAATGCACTTTTCGGGAATTTCCCCCGTCTAAGAGCTACAGAGCCCGCAACATTGAGTATTCCACATTTGGTCACTTCCCTCAAGACAGGTTCCGAGGCAACTCAAGAAGCTGCTTTGGATGCACTTTTTTATCTCACACAGCTTTGGTCAGCATGCCCACCTGAAGTCTCTCGAGCACAATCAATCGCTGCTGCTGACGCTATTCCGCTGTTGCAATACTTGATACAATCGGGTCCTCCTCGGTTTCAGGAGAAGGCGGAGTTCCTGCTGCAATGCTTGCCGGGGACATTGGCGGTGATAATTAAGCGTGGCAACAACATGAGACAGTCTGTCGGGAATCCTAGCGTGTATTGCAAGCTTACCCTTGGAAATACTCAACCTCGGCAAACCAAGGTACAACTTCTTTACTTATCAAACTAAAAGATATTAAACCAGCTTGGTTGGCGTGAGTGGCCGTGCACACTCTCATCCCTTAAGAGAGGTCGGGAGTTTGAACCCCCTCTCATATGGAAAAAACAATCTGACCAGCACTTTGCCCCTTAATTGGGCTGGCCCGGTGCGAATGGGGATTAGTCTGATTATGGTATGGGTTTAAAGGCGCCTCCTACAGTTAGGATCAAAAAGATACTTGCACCTTTTGTTTATTGAAACGATAAAAAGGAATTGATAAGAAAAAATGATTTATCTTTTGTTCTCCTTGATTGCTTACATATATTCCATAAACTCTTATTTTCCTTCCCTTCTCATAGATTGTATCAACTGGTCCTAATCCCGAGTGGGATGAGAGTTTTACGTGGTCCTTTGAAAGTCCTCCAAAGGGCCAAAAGCTTCACATTTCATGCAAGAACAAGAGCAAAATGGGCAAGGTAAATGCACTTTTCTCATCCCCATTTTCGATAATCAAAGACTACCAGACATAAATTTCTGTTTCTATCTTTGCTTTCTCAATCCTGCACTAACCAGCTTCTTAAATACCACAACTGAACAGAGTTCATTTGGGAAGGTAACTATCCAGATCGATCGTGTAGTAATGCTGGGTTCAGTTGCAGGGGAGTACACTTTGTTGCCTGAAAGCAAAAGTGGACCTTCAAGGAATTTGGAGATAGAATTTCAGTGGTCTAACAAATCTGAACAATAGAGGAGAAATATATGATTTCATTTACCCTTTTCTTGCATTTTTGGGGGTTTATTTATATATTAAAATTGTATATAGCTTATGGCAGAGGTTTTACAGTTGTTTTGCATAGTTTTCTTAATTTCAGTCTTGAAACCGGCTAGTAGTCAGTGTATTCTTTTGCTGAGTCTGTTGTACCTGTGTGCATATGTATTAATTGCTTATATTCCTTTGCATTCATATTTGGTTGATTGTCAAATTTGAGTTTTACCAGAATAAACTTCCTGGTTTGGACATTCCCATGATGTTTTTTGCCACATTTTCCTATATTATATATATACCATTGTGCTCACTGTATAATGTAATAATGAACATATAGTTCAATTACTATGAACATAAAGTTCAATCCAAATGCATATTTAGCTCGCTCATCTTGACATAAACATGAAGTTCAACCCAATGGTACATCTCATTCATCTTTAGAAGTTTGAAGAAAGGATATGATGTGATATACTTAGTGAGTTCTATGCACATTTTTACTTTTTTGGTGATCGGAAAAATGGGTTGATTTTCTATATTTATACTATAACATATATATCTATATCACATACAATTAAGCCACAAATCACAATACAAATGTCTATAAAATTACAATAGTACAAATTTTACAAGTCAAAAGCCCAGATCTCGAGAACACAACACAAAATTACTAGGAGCCCTTTCAATTCTCAGCTTGCTCTATTACAGTACAGTAGCACCTTACATGGCAAGGAGAGCAAGAGATCGATCGAAACAATCTCTTTTATTTTTTGCCCCACTTTTACACAAACAGCTTGGGACACACACCACACAGACCATTAATCTTAAACAACAATATAATGGCAATTCTAAGCTAAGCCTGCATGTTCTTATCAACCAGACATGCATCAATGGCTTCTCCGATGGTCAGAAACACCTTTCCTTTGATTTTGTTATGAAAGTCGGCTAGCCTTAGCTTGTGAATCACTTGCCACCTTGGATTTGCTATCACAAACTGCATGCATGCATCCCATTCAATTAACCACATATTTAACAATAGATTGATGATGAGTACTTCAATATAGTATATATAATATATAAATAATATCATTTATTAATTAAAAGTACCTGAACTCCACATGACGTTATCTTGTCATACAATTCCTTCAGAGAAATTATTGCAGATGTATCCACGTTCATTATATCTAGATTCATCAATTAATAATAATGTTAATTGAATAAATGTGACAAACAAAAAAGGTAGGGAAAATATAGCGTTTCGTGTCTATATTTATAGGAAATAGTGGTTTCAATCTCTTGATCGAGATGATAATTTAGGTCCATTTTTCATGTAAGTGTCCGTTTGGATATAGTTTTGGATTTTTTTTCCACCTATGTTAATAGAGATTTTAATGGTTTAAATTAGAATTACAAATTTGTTCCTGTATTGACTAATAAGTTCCACACATGCAATGCAAAAGTAACTGACTTTTCTTTTGGCAATTGAGAGAACGAAATCACTTCCTTATTAAAAAAAACTAGTTTTTTACGCGCATTGCGCGATTGGGATAATGCCCAATATTTTTTTTTTTAAAATAAGTACTTTAAAGTATATCAAGGCAATATTATATATATTGAAATTGTTCATGCATAGATAATTGAATGTTAATTTTGTGTATTTAAATAGGCAATTCTAAGTTTACAAATGCAAGATAATATAGTCAAGATTGATTATAATTGTCAATGAAATAATTCTATAGGTATGGTTGAAACCAAATACGGGACATAAGGAGAGAAAATAAAAATTAGGGCATAAAATATTAAATATATACTAATATTGAAGAGCTAACTCCTGATTGTCAAACAAGGACATTGCGAGTTCCACTTCAATTTGTTGTGTGATTTGAATACTCTTTTTGTCAATAAATCCCCAAAGTAGTTAATATGATTGGTTTAATTATATTTTTTTTATTTCTTTATTTTTTAAAACAACTATTATTATTATTATATATTTTTTAATTTTTCATCATATTAATAAAATACTTGGTAAATAAATATATAGCACTATTTTGTATTATAACTTTGATATTTAATTAAAAAATAGTGCACAAAAAAGATAATAGACAATGTAGTGAATATAACCAATTGATGAATTTGTACATTGAAGAAATATAAAGACAATATAACTAATAAAATTATTTCTCTTAACTAATTTATTGATAATGAATAATTTTTTTTAATAAAGACATTGTAGGGACAATGTAGCGAATTTGAATGTAAATAATTTTTATATTGGAGAAAAATAAATACAATATAACTAATGAAATTATTTTTCTTATTTAATGTATTGATAATGAATAATTTTTTTGAATAAAGACATTGTAGACACATAATTCTAAATTAAAGAAATGCATATGTATTTTTTTTTTTTTTTTTTTGGGATGGGCTATTAAATTATTATTTTAATTTAATAAGAGTAAAATAGAGTACTAATTATGCCAACTTTGATTGGGATGAAGTTCGAACCTATGACCTTTCTTATTGAATTCAATGAGTAAGTTAACGGTGAACTAACGGCAACTCTAGTTTTTTACGCGCATTGCGCGATTGGGATAATGTCCAATGTTTTTTTTTTTTTTTTTGTTTTTTTTTTTTTTTTTGTTTTTGTTTTTGTTTGCATAAGTACTTTAAAGTATATCAAGGCAAGATTATATTGGAATTGTTCGTGCATAGATAATTGAATGTTAAATTTACGTATTTAAATAGGCATTTCTAAAATTACAAATGCAAGATAATATAGTCAAGATTGATTATAATTGTCAATAAAATAATTATATAGGTATGGTTGAAACCAAATACGGACATAAGGGAAAGTAAATTAAAATTAGGGCATAAAATATTAAATATATACTAATATTGAAAAGTTAATTGCTGATTATCAAACAAGGACATTGCGAAGTAGTTAATATTTTTTTTTTTGAATGCTGCGAAGTAGTTAATATGATTGGCTTAATTATATTTTTATTTATTTTTTATTTTTTTAAAACTATTATTATTGTTATTATTGTTGTTGTTATTATTATTATTATTATTATTATTATTATTATTATTATTATTATTATTATTATTATTATTATTATTATTATTATTATTATTATTATTATTATTATATGTATACCCTTAGGTCATTTTACATGTTAATCTAAACAACAACTAATTTTTTCAAATATCTTTTTACCAAACGTTGATATAATTCGCTAATATAATCCGCTAACGCTAACTGCTGATTGTCAAACAAGGACATTGCGAGTTAATTCTCACTTCAATTTGTTGTGTGATTTGAATACTCTCTTTGTCAACAAATCCCTCAGATAGTTAATATGGTTGGCTTTATTAATTATATTTTTTAAAATTTTTCATGGTATTAATAAAATACTTGGTAAACAACTATATAACATTATTTTGTATTATAACTTTGATATTTAATTAAAAAATACTGCACAAAAAAAAATAGACAATGTAGTGAATCTAATATAATCAATTGATGAATTTGAAATTTGAATGTAAAGAATTTTTACTTGGAGAAATATAAAGACAATAGAACTAATAAAATTATGCCGATTAATTAATTTATTGATAATGAATAATTTTTTTTTTAGTAAAGACATTGTAGGGACAATGTAGCGAACATAATCAATTGATGAATTTGAATGTAAAGAATTTTTATATTGGAGAAAAATAAAGACAATATAACTAATGAAATTATTTTTCTTATTTAATTTATTGATAATGAATAATTTTTTTTTTTTTTGAATAACGACATTGTAGACACATAATTCTAAATTAAAGAAATGCATATGTATTATTTTTTGTTGTAGCTACTAAATTATTATTTAATTTAATAAGACTAAAATAGAGTACTAATTATGCCAACTTTGATTAGGATGGGGTTCGAACTTAAAACATTTCTTATTGAAATCAATGAGTAAGTTAACGGTGAACTAACAGAAAGTAACGGAAAAGATAATATTTAACGGAAAAGTTAACGGATAATCATATTCATTAAGGATAAATTAGTAAATCTTAAGGAAATATTAAAATCTGATCAATCTGAGCCATTCATTTGATTAAAAAATTTGACCACCATTTTTTCTACCTATTATAGGCCTAACTCTCTTGGGCTTTTATTAGTATAGTAGAAATATTAAAATCTGATCAATCTGAGCCATTCATTTGATTAAAAAATTTGACCGCCATTTTTTCTACCTATTATAGGCCTAACTCTCTTGGGCTCTTATTAGTATAGTAGATATATATATATAGTAGATAGTAGATTAGACTATCAATTAATAATACTGGCATCAACAATTTAAGGGCTGAAATTGTTATTTCGTATATATATAAGAACAAAAAGCGTTATTTTCCCAAAAACGTGAACAAACATAAAATGAATATAATGGGAAACTTACTTGACATGTCGAAAACAATAAGCGCAATTCTTTTCTCAGAACTTTCTTTGGTTTCATCAGCTGATTTTTGTTCTTCCATGACCAGGCTCAGAATCCTTATTAGTAATTTTCGAACAAATAAACTTTAATTTCTGTATGTATATATACACACACATATATATGTAGCTAGGGAGAAAAATTAAAGTTTGAAGATTATTGTACTACACACCTTGCCTTAATGAAATTGGCATTGGCAAAACAAAGTAAAGAGGATTTGGTTCTGATAACGAAAACTCCAGGAGTTTGAACAGCCATAGGGTATTGGTGAATACCCATGAACAATGCGTCAGTCCCCGGAAGCCTACCCAGTTTTTCAATGCCTGGCTGGATTGAATTCAACATGATTTTTGCAAATGACAAACCCACCTGACTTCATCAATAATATTCATTATTATTGCATTATAAAACCTTAATCAGTAGTAGTTATTCTTCCAAAAGGCTGAACCCCAACCCTAAGGTCCGACAGAGCATTTGGGAGGATGTAAATCATGGTGACTCAACTGAACATGAACCACAGAAGCTAGACCGGTGCTCACTGCGCACAAGGAGCCCCTCTCACTTTGAGAGGTTGCTCCAACACTACCGCTGGTGAGACTCTATCCCTGGTCATTATTCCAAAATTTCACCTCTATGACCAGTTGAGCTACCATGCAGGCTTAATCAGTAGTTATGATTATATTATAGATGTCAATAGGCTATAATTTGGCCTGCAAGTTGAAAGAATATTATAATGAAGGTGTTACTACTATACGTACCGCTACTAGTAGGCCAATCTCCACAGAAGCAAAAAGAACGCCGGCAAAAGCTCCGGCGCAAGCCAGGAAGTCTAGCTTGTCAACCTTCCATATACTATAAGCTTCATTGAGGTTGATGAGTCCCGGCAAAGCGGAGAGAATAATGGATGCCAAAATGGCGACCGGAGTGAAGTACAAGAGCTTGGTGAGCAGCTGTAGTGATATTAGCACCGTCACGGCCATTACAACATTTGACACCGCACTTTCGCATCCGGCATAGAAGTTAACAGCACTGCGAGAGAAGGAACCTGCATGCATGCATATATACAACACATATATATGGTATGTAGGTTTAATTTAATATAGTATTTAAACTATAATATATTTTTTTTGAGGGGAAACTATAATATATAATTAACCTGTTTTTATTAATTAATTACCTGTTGCAACATAGCAAGAGGTTAATGAGCCTGCAATGTTGGCAACTCCAATGGCCAGCATTTCCTTGTTCCCATCAAGATGGTATCCTTTCATAGAGGCAAAAGACCCACCAACAGCAATTGCTTCCTACATACATACATATTGTGCATGTTACGTTAATGCACATAGATCAAATAATCTCTCTGCCGGTACAATCCCAGTCAAGTTAGTCAGACTGTTTACTTGGTAATTAGAAGGTTACAACTCCCAATTGGAGCAGCTTATTGGTCTTCTTGGTATGAGTCGGTCAACTATAGACCACCTAGGCTGGTTTATCTTGTTAGTAATCCTTTGACAGCTAGAGTCACATCAAGACAAGGTTTAATTTACTAATGCACACTCTTAAGTAGCGATTAATTACCGTGAGAGCGACAACTGCAACAATGAATCCAATCTTAACAACTTGAGGTATATGAGGGGTGTTGAAGTGCAACTGGTGAAGGGAGCTGGGGTTTAGACCTCCTTTGACATGCTTCACTATCTTGACTCCATGGTTTTCAGCCCTTGTCAGATAAACCAATAGAGTAGACAAGATGACCGACAGAAGCGGCGCCATGGCAGGTAGCCAGAACAGTTTCCTGTGCTTTTGTCCCTACAATAATCATATCGTACGTGTTAATTAAGTGTTAGTAGAGCAGTAGTAATAAAAATTAAAATTGATTTCTTTAACCACATTACTTGCCAGAAATCTGGTAATGAGGATGAAGCTCAGAAATGAAAATCCAATGATGAGGTTATAAGGATTCCACTGCCAAATATCCAACACACGTATATGTAAGTTGAATTTAATTGTTTCTTTTAACTAGGCACTTTGAACAGCTAAAGACAATATATAAGCTAAGTATAGTACGTACTGGAGAATGGTGCAGTGATGTGAAGATGTGAGTTAGGACAGAGACAACATCGGTCTTGTTTGTGAAATTTGAGATGCCAAACAGAGGTTTGAGTTGTTGCAGGCCAATCACAATGGCGGCGCCCGCCATGAACCCAACGATTGCAGCATGGGAAAGAAAATCAACCAGAAACCCCAACCTGCAGGATTATGCATGCATGTAAAATTCATATATAGATGAAGGTACGTAATCTCCGGTGAGAAGATGAACCAAAAAGTTGCCTGCTCCTCGTTGATTCACCGGCGACCATTCTAGGGTAGTCAGTCAATTTTTATTGTCTGAAATATGGTCGAAGTTGGCCAAAACTCCAGTGACATGTGATAGCAAGCTAGTCACTAACTGGTGGTCTTTGGACTTCATTACACCAAAATACTTTAATTGTTGCTTTAGAAAGTTTATGGGTCTAATATAATTCACTTTTTAGATAAAATTCTCGAGCTTAACCCTTTTTCCCATTTATATATATAATTATTAATTAATTAGTTAATTATAATCCACCTTAAATTTTAATATTTTAGTTCTAAATAAATAAGTTTATTTGAAAATTATAAATAACTTAATTATTAAATTCAAATATTTTTATTATTTTGTGTTTTTAATATAACATTATATTTAAATATTTTAATAAAATAAAAAGTTATGTGTATTCTTCCAAAAGGCTGAACCTCAACCCTAAAGGCTCCCACATCCCGACCCGACAAGACAGAGCATTTGGGAGGATGTAAATCATGGTAACTCAACTGAACATGAACCACAGAGGCTAGACCTTTGCTCACCGCGCACAAGGAACCCCCTCACTTGGAAAGGTTGCTCCCGCACTGTTGGTGAGACTCGATCCCTAGTGGGGAACGGTGGAAATGAGTTTCGAAAAGTTACACCCACCATATATAAATTGAGAATGGGGAGAAAAAGTATAGAAGTGCACCAATGGTGAACGGTGACCGTTACAATTCCTACGGAAGATTTTTCATATTCATTTTCAAATTGTTGGAATATGTAGTCTAGTATTTACTACACCATAAAGCTCGGCAAATATAGTGACACTCGGTCAAATATTACAAAGATAAAAGGTGATAATTGACTAGTAAACCCGTCTTTTATTTTATGATTTCTTTATTCACAGAATGCGAAATTCCTCGTCCCAATCAAGAACTTCACATCCATTATTTACAGGATATTTTGATGAATTTTTTATTAAGTGGTGAATTGTTTACATGTCATCATGTGCATACTAGCTTGTATTTAGAATCTGACTTAGCTTTTTTCCAAATATAATGGAAGAGTGAATTGGTGAGTTTAGTTACCTTAGAATTCCAAAAGCAGCTTGAAAGATACCAGCAAAAAAGGTGACAGTGAGAACCAGGCTTGTATACCCAGCTGGGTTGGAGGCAGGATCTTCTAGCTTGGGAACCATTGAGGATATGAGAAGCGAGATAACCGCCACTGGTCCTATAGCTATCTCCCTTGAACTCCCCATCACAGCATAGATAAGTGGAGGAACAACACTTGTGTCTGCATCATAACAAATAAAACCACCTTAATTGCCAACTTATATAATTCTCCATCTTCAATGAAACAAATACAATTAAGGTTATTAAGTTTATATACAAGAAATGGACTCACAAAGGCCATACTGAGGATCCAGATTTGCCAGAGCAGCATAACCAATACTCTACACAACATACAAAACCCATAAACATAACTATTAACTTAAACTTTTAGTTAAGACAGAACAGAACAGAACGTATATATATTATATTATATTGACTACCTGGGGGATGCAGAGGCTTGCGAGGGTGAGACCGGCCAAGACGTCGCTTTTAAGCTTGACCAAACTGTATTGTTTGCCCCATGAAAGAAGCGGAAAAACGCTCTCAGAAGCCGACAGGACGGCCTGGACCGGGCGCTTTCTCAGGCGCTGGAACGCAGTTCCGAGGAACGTCGCCGTTTTCTTGAACGACCCCTCCAGCTTCCGGGACAAACCCGGCGGCTCAGGGACATTGAGCACCCAACTAGCACGCTCAGCCGCCGGCGGCAGGGTTGAGGAGGTTTTTTGAAGTGTTTGGGAGAACTCGTAAGGGAGTTCCAATTCTGCAGTCATCTCAACTCCGGTCGTCGGAGCAATGGCCATTCCGGCCAGATACTTAATACAAGCTAAGCTTAATACGTAGAGTTTCAGAACACTAATAAATTAATCAAAAACTCTGATCTTCTGGCATTGAAGGCATGCCATTAATTAAGCTGAAGTATATAGCTAGCTCTTGAATGGTAGTAATACTAGTAATTAGTGTAGTAGTGGAGAATATTCTTACCATTCAGTATGAATATTGCATCTTAGGGCTTCAAGAATGGAGAATAATGTATTTTATGCATACAATGAACGAATTATTGCATCTTAAGGCTTCAAGAATAGGGAATAATGTATTTTATGCATACAAATAATGAACGTTGATTTACTGAATAATAACCCCACCCTAAGATAGTCAAATCGATTATTGGTAGGCAATTTCCATTTGGAAACCAAAATAATGGTCACATTAATTATTTTACACGACTATTCAGTACAGTGCTGAATGCTTCTGTCACTTATGGGCAATTCATTTGTGCTCCAATGCTTAATTGTTTTTTAACGTCCATGAAAATGACACATCCACTTGGCAAATTGAAGGCACCACTAGTTTCTATATTTCTTTTTCTTTTTAGTAAAAGTAAATCTACTTTTGGATCGAATTCATATAAAGGCAAGAGGCAAATATATAGCCAATGGAACTGGACAGGAGCAACTTCACTTCATTGCAATTAGTTTTCTTTAATTTTGCACCCTTCACTTTTTTTATTTACAGTTAAGAGGTAAAAAGTATATGTCTCTTTCGGTTAAATAAATCATAATTAGTTAATTGCCTCTTGATCATTTTTTTTTAAAGTTTAAATAATAATTAAATCATTATTGTCACGAATTAAGTGTGACGGTAAATAAAGTTATCAGAATAATTGTAGAAAATAATCAAACTTGATTAAAATTTCAGTACAAAAGTATTGAGCGTATCCTGCTTAACGAAGAGTCTCCTACTTATAGTAAGGCCTCCAACGTTCTTTTACTTTAAGTAATGGTTCCATAGTAATGAGGAGTCGAGTCTATATTATTCACCATATATAATTGCCCGTCTTGAATAAGTCAATGTTGGAGTAAATGTTTTCGTTATGTGACTGTTGATATTCTTTGATGGTTTTGAGTTGGATGTCTGTCCCATTATTAATTCTGTGAAAATGAAATTAATTTGGTTCACCAACTCTTTACAACTGTGGCACTTGACAAAAGTGAATGTTTCTCCACTGCACGTACTGAGTCAGTGATTGAATAGACCAATATTCCAACATCCACTCTTTGCTTGTTGACTTCCTGTGTCCACACATTTGTGATATAATGACCGATTAATTTACTGTTGTATTTGTAGTGCTTTTAGTGAGAAAGTGAACTGCATGCGCATCATTATATTCCTAATTATGGGTTTATCACTCTTAATATTCCCCTCTTTGTGTCCCAATACATTCTTCATTTTCACCTTCCCTTCTTTTCAGCCCCTATTCAATCCATCTATCTAGCTAGCCTGCATAATTCAATTAAATATATATTGCATAGTGATTTATCAATAGTTGAAGGTATAGTAAAAAAATACATGTTGGATACGATAAAAAAAACTCAGTTCATTTGTAATGTATTATTTTGTATTTTATTATTTTATGTTTGACGAGTATATATATATATATATATATATATATATATATATATATATATATATATATATATATATATATATATGTACCTACATGTTTTATTAGGATTATTTTGGTTATTTAAATAATAGTTCTTTTCTATTTCGTTGTCTAACCAAACACAAAAATATTATTCATCCTAAAATCACATGTTTATTCTTGTTTTGAACTAAATAGTAGATCTGTTATAATTATATTATATTCTCTTTACTTTTATTCTTTGAATCAAACACTATTCTTTTTACTTTTATTCATTGAATCAAACACTAGGTTATTAGGAGGTATTGGTTCAATGAATGTTTTTTCAAGTATAAATTGAATATTTCAAAAATCTTGAACAATTTAAAAATTTTATGCGAATGAGATATTCATCAATTAACAAAAGGAATTAATTAAAAATCAAGTTCAGAGCTAAGTACCTTGTGTTCAGATGGCATGTAATGACCTCTCTCATATGAGAGGTCATGAGATTGAGCCTTAGTGGAAGCGTGAGGTGTTGTTGACTTGTCAATTAACAAAAGGAATTAATTAAAAATCAAGTGCAGTCGTGCACGCATATCATTGACCACAATGTAAGGTAGACTTTGTTTCATGATATAATTTGCCCTAATACACTCTCATGTTCATAATTACTGAACTATATGTTTATAATTATAAAGGTATATATTCATAATATTTGAACTTTATATTCACAATTACAGAACTCTATGTCCATAATTATTAAACTATATATTCATAATTATAAAGCTATATATTCATAATTTTGAACTTCATATTCACAATTATTGAATCTCTATATTCATAATTACATAACTATATATTCATAATTATGTTTACAATTCTATGTTCATAATTATAAAACTATATGTTCATAATTTTTGAACTATATATTCATAATTATGAACAATTTTGGAACTGTCTCTACCTTGCAAGGTGGACATGGTTCTACGGCAAAATTTGCCGGATTTAATTAATGGCATTCGAACTAGAATTAACACCAAATATTTTGGATTACCATGTGTAATCACTTTAATTTGTTGCATTAAACTAGCTAGAATTAACACCAAATATTTTGGATTACCATGTTCTAATCACTTTATTGCATTACTTTCATTCTTATCCTACAAGCATTACGATAAGTTCAAAATTTGGCATTGTCTTGGATTCTCAAAATTTTCCCAACTGTCATACTTCAATATATTTGCTATGAACTGTGAATGGAAAATGGCACACCTCACACTCGTGATGGGTGCCCATTCCATCCATTTAAAGTGTACAGAAATTTTCATTTCAATTTTAACGATAAATAAAAATCTTTGACGTGTCTTTCGCATATTAATAGCTAGCTAGATAGAAAGTCAACGAAAACCTACTTTTAAAGAAAGGTCCCGAATTTCAGTCCTATCCCAACATTTGTTAGGTTAGAGTAAATTCAAAAATAATAAATAAAGTTTATAGGAATTTGTGTTGTCTTTGTTTTAATTTCTTATAGTGATCCCATAGTGGTTCTTTAAACCATGGTCATACAAAAAGAGATCGAGAATTGTTTGGCGGAGGTCGGTAAATGATCAAGTCTAGTAATTGGTGGCTAAGAAGATTGTTAGGCAGAGGTCAATGAAGGAGCAAGTTCAGCATTCTGGTTCTCCAAAATATAGTGGTGGTATATAAGAAAATAAAGTTGAGCATTCGATGAGCTATAGCCTTTAGTATGTAGTGCGTTTGATCCTAACAAGTGTTGTTAGATCACATACCTGCAGTTAAGACTTACAGATGCTAGGAGGAGAAATTATTTGACAAAAATCGATAAATTAAAGACATTAATGACTATAGAGATTGTTGATTTGAGGGTTTTTGAGTCACAGTCAATCGATACCATAAATTTTTCTTTTATATATCCACACACATAGCAAAAGGTGTATGTAATACTTACATCAACAACACAGTACAGAACAACCAAAGCAAACATACATGCATGATGAGACAACAATGGATCAGTTGTTGCCCACATTGAAATAATCCTTATTATCATCATCACCACGGGAATGGGAGCTTCTGTCTATCTTCTGCTGCTGTTGTTGACTCTTCCATCTCTCAACCTCTTCCGACAGTAACCCTTTCTCATCATCCCCTTCTTCTCCATTGCTGAATTTCTTCGCAACAATCTTCACCTTCTTTAGCGTGTACTGCAGATTAAAACACATCTTAGCTTATTAGTCTTATCGATCTTAGCTTGTTCTTGATTGATTGCAATGAATGATGTCGCTTTATGTAATTGGTTGAATCAATTATTGTTTCTTGTGGCGATCGATGCAATCAATGGATTTTGTTCCGATCCGTTCTGTAATGCACTTCACCATTAAAGGAATGTGACAACTACAGATTATATTGTAATGAATTTTCAATTTGGAACACAATTTTGGATTTTCTAACCATATCTAGGCAAAAGACCCAATTAAGTTAATAATACAAGGGAAATTATACCATGGACCAAGGCTCATCTGGTATTGTGAATCAAGGTCCAAAACAACATTTGAATTATATAATTACAATTAACATATTATGTACCTCCAGTTAACAGATTATGAAGACTCTGTTTGATACGCTTAGTTGAAAAGCTAGCTGAAAGTTGAAAAACTAGTAGTTAATAAGCTAATTAATTATGATAAGTGTAAAAAGACATAAAAAGATAAACTAAGATATTTTAATTAATGAAGGGTAGATGGTGTCATATTTGTAATTAATAAAGATAAAAAAATTAAAAAGTCCTTATTTTGAAACGCTACTTGGTAGCATTTCAAAATAAGCTATTATTTTAAACTCCATATATTTTACCAAACAAAACTTATAGTTTATTTGTAGTTTAAATTTTAAAATAAGTTAAAATTTCTACCAAACAAAGCCATACATACATGTAAGTAAACACAAGGTACATAATTAATATTTTAATTATAATAGATACATAATTTATTAATTAAATATACATAATATGTTAACTGTATATCTATAATGTGTTAATTTTAATAGGTACATAATTTATTAATATGTTAATTGTAATAGATACATAATTGTAACAATTGTTATGCCATGGAACCGTGTTCACCATCCTTAGTAAACACGGTCCCAATGGTGTTAGGGCACTGTTATCTTTTTTTTTTTTCCTTAATTAATTGCGTGACTTTTCTTCTTCATTTTCACATTTCGCGGTTTCACTTTAATTTGAGGTGAGCAATGATTTCGGACATTCATAAATTATGAATCCATGCCTGCACATTCACTTTGGAACCATGCCTACACATTCCCGTCCGAAACCATGGCTCCTCCTCTGTAGCGCAAGCTTCTTCAACATTCATAAATTATGAATTTTCTGTTATGAGATTATGAATTTTGAGATTATGAATTTACAGTACATTCATAATCTCATAACAGAAAATTCATAATCTGACCAAACGCGCGCCGTTAACACCACATTAGCAATTTTTTTTTTTATTTATTTTTTTTTTTACGTAAAAACGGCGCCTTTTGAACCCGTGTTCACCATTGAACACGTTTCCAGGGTATAATTTACCTAATTGGAATAGGTACATAATGGCATTATTGCTGGACTAGTTATAGAACGCAACAATCTCTTCATCATCGTATTCGTATGGGCCAATTGCAATTAAGGACTTAAGGTTGTGGTGGCCTATTTCTTTAGCAGGACGAGAATTAGTCACAAATTAACCCGGCCCATTTTTTTTTTTAGGTGGTGGTGGCATGTTTATTTAGCCACCGGTGAACGGTCTCCGGTTGACATTAATTGCCATTGAAGGTGAGGGCAACGATGGAGAAGGCGATGGATTTGGTCACCTTTGGTGGAGAAGGCGGCCAGTCAATCATTACTGGAGAAAACGACCAATCCTATCGCCTTCGTCGATCGACCAACAGTCAATTTATTTTTTTTGGTTAAATAATGGAGACTTTATTTTTGAGGACGATAGTCAATGACAGTGAACGATGGTCACAACGGCGGCCTGCTTGCCACGTTATTAGGTAAATAAGACTTATTGGACTCATTTTAATTAATTAGAGTGTTTAATTTTAACTTTTTAAAATTCAAGAGTTTAATTGCTATTTCGTGTAAAGTTCAATAATGACTTATTTGATTCTTTTCCCTTTAAATTTCAAACCTTATATTAAACATCTTTAATTTTAGTAAATTAGTGTTATTAATAATTTTTTTTTTTTTTTTGGTGATAACTTAAAAATAGATATGCATGAACAATATTTCTCTACAAGCTAAGGCAAGGCCAACATGTACCTTAAAAAAAGTAGTAGTAATCATAATGTATCTATATATTTTGCAATGTCTTTGAATTCATAGGAGACAAATGGCAGTGGAACAAATTATGAATTATCATTAGTGTTTACCTAACCAAGAAAAGAATCGAGTGATCCACAATGATGATAGGTTCTTTACTTCTTTGTTACTTTCCTCTCTCAACCTTTAATTTCTCATCCATCAAGTTATCCCAAATCTAACACATACATGACATCATGTGGCAACAATCCATTATAATGCCTATTACTATTAAGTAAAAAATAAGATAAATATTTGATAACGTAAAATTTAAGATTTATACAAACAATTACAGTGTGTAGTAAAAAATAACAAAGTAAAGTAATAATGTTGATTGTGATAATAAAGTCAAATACAATTTGAAATTACAATGGCTCATCATAAGCCTTCAACTAGGTCTAAAAATGTAGTAGAGCCTACGAAATTAGATCCATCTGCAAGTTGGTGGAGCACAATATTCATAGAGTTAGAGTAGAAAAAAGATCCACTAACAAGGACTATATAACATTAATCGATCAAGTAAAGAAAAAAAGTAATTCTTTTACTTTTTCTACTTTTCTTTATGGGATGCCTTTTAATGATTTAATTTCATGCATGTTTGGTAGTAGCACAACCCCCTCCCCAAACATTTCTCTACCGGCTTGCTGGCCGGCCATTATATCAACCCATCCACTCTGGGCTACTAGGAAGCATTGAGAAGCTAGCAACCAAAAACCATATGACGATGGCAACATTATTGGTGGCGTTCTTTGCTCTCTGCTCGCTCTCCGCCGCTACCGCCACCGCCAATTTTATAGACAACCCTTTCCTCGTAAAGGGAAAAGTCTACTGCGACACCTGCAACTGTGGCTTCGAGACCACCGCCACCAAATATATCCCCGGTACCTACATTTTCTTCAATCCATTAAGCTCTCATCAGATATCCTTTTTGTTATGACTAGAGAAACTAGTCTCCACTACTTAGAAGTGTAGAGATAAATTACAACCTAGGTAATCTATAGTTGCATAAGAATATTAACTAGTCTAAATTGTATATGCATGTTAATGTTGCAAAAGGCACTAGGTGCAGGCCGGCCAGTGCTCCCAAGACACCTAGGTGGTAGGCGGCCTGGTAATTCGAGTATCTCTTCTCACTTTTTTCATTTAGGGCTACGGATTATTAGACTATTATAATTCCGAAATTAGTTAACTGCACATATTAGATATATGATTAGTTGAGTATATGACTGAAAAAATATAGAAGATGAGTAGTCCAGTAGGCAAGAGAAAAGTACTCAACCGAGTTGAACGCCAACTCGGCCGAGTTAGGTGCCAAATCAAGACTCGGCCGAGTTAGGCGCTCAACTCGACCAAGTTGGTGCATAGGGTGCCTAGTTGGTAAACCCACTAAAAATCGCTTAAGAAAGCCTAGTGCCTAGTCGACCGCTTAAACCGATTTTACAACCGTGCATATAGTTAACTAGCTCAAATCAAGAAGATCAATAGGTCATTTTCACTAAAAGTCAACTTAGAAACTTATATGATTCTAGAATTAATAACTTGACCAATTTGGTTGGTTAATGTTCGTTAAATTGACAGGATCAAGGGTCCAGATTGAGTGCAGAAACAGGGACACCAACGCCCTCACCTACACCATCGAAGGCATAACCAACTCGGAGGGAGAGTACAGCATCTTGGTGGAGAGCGAGCGCGGCGGCGACTTCTGCGACGTCGTTCTAAAGCAGAGCTCCGACCCCGTCTGCGACGTTCCCAGCCAAGGACGCGACCGTGCTCGCGTCATACTCACCCGTAACAACGGCATTAGCAGCGACGTCCGTTTCGCCAACAGCATGGGTTTCGCTACTGCCCGCCCTTTGCCTAGCTGCCCCCAACTCCTCCAACACTATCATTTGAACGACGACAATTTTTAATTTTTAATGAACAACAAAACAATTACTTTTCTTGTTTTCATGCTTTGAGCTTCCATATATTTTATATTTATATTTAACGTTGTCATAATCAATGTGCACTCTTTTGTATTTGAGGATAAGCATGGCATGGACCAAGGTCTACCCTGTATTATATATAGACTATGATCTAAAGGGTTATTCTATTTACACCACCTATTTTACTATTTGTACCACCTACTTAGTAGGTCAAATAGCTTTATAGGTGGTGTAAATGCCAGCATTAATAAATGTAGTCAAAGTAACATTTATTATTTATTATTTTTTAACAATAAACATTAAAAAAAAAAAAAAAAGAATAAATCATCGCCTTCTCCGGTGAGAAGGACTGCCTTCTCACCGGAGAAGGCAACTGGGCTGCCTTCTCCGGCGAGAAGGCAGCCCACTGTGTGAGTCGCCTTCTCCGGCGAGAAGGCAACCCACTGTGTGGGCTGCCTTCTCCGTGGACCACTGTGTGTGATATTAGTATACTCAGAAGATTTCAGTTGGTGTTAACTCATAATATTAATATAAGCGGACTAAGCCCGCTTAGGCTCACACCACCTAGGCCCGTGGACCAATCAAGGTGGGCTGCTAAAACCAAAACTCACCCCTACCTATATAAAAATGGGGTGGGTTGATTCGGCGCATAAAGTTCATTTTAACGGCTCTAAATAGAGTTAGGGCATGTCTAAAAAAGTTGTCTGTTCTACCAATCAAAATCCAATTGTTATATTGTGCACCAGGACGACGCACAATACATTGTGCACTTTAAAAATCTCATGTTTAGTATGTACATAATTATATATAGTACAATACAAATAAACTCCTAACATAATACACAAACTTAACATAATAGACACCCGCACTCGCTCCACACACATAAATTTCAGACAATAAATTATTTTTAACCAAAAGGAAGATATATATAACACAGAAAAAAGATGCGAATTCCATATGAGAAGTTGACAACAGGCCGGTCGTCATTCGTGTGTCACTACCAAAACATTAATTATATTCTACGTACGTACGCTGCCGGCCATGCCAGCCATTCAGCCAATGTCTAATTGTCTATGATATCTGTCTAATAGTAAAGATTATTTTTCTTTAATTTAGACAAAACTAAGCTCTTCAATTTATAGTGGCCTGGAATGATGAAGCTGTAAGATAATACTGTTGTGGCGGCTAATACTTCTCTTTTTATTCAGAAAATTAAACTGGAAAGTAGAAAGGCATTATTCTTGGGTCTGGAGAATAATGGAAACCGAGTTAGTGGAGAATGGCAAGTACGAGCCTTTATTTGAAACCATGAAAGCAAAGGGGAGGCTGGTTTACCGCCTTTTCTCAGCTTCCATTTTTGTGGGAATTGTTTGTGTTTGGATTTACAGAGTGATTCACATTCCAGAAGCTGGAGCATATGGAAGAATGGGTTGGATAGGGGTGTACGGGGCGGAGTTATGGTTTGGTATTTACTGGATTTTCACTCAGGCTCTGCGTTGGAACCCTGTGTTTCGTCAACCTTTCAGACAAACACTCTTGAAAAGGTCGGTCTATACTAGATACTACTCCCATGCTTCCAACGTTAAGTTTTTCATTCTCAGAACTCAAAACTGTCTGATTTTTGTTTCTTTTGTGATAAGAACAGGTATGGGAAGGCTTTGCCAAGAGTGGATGTGTTTGTATGTACAGCTGACCCTGCAACTGAGCCGCCAATGATGGTGGTCAACACTGTTTTGTCTGCCATGGCATACGACTACCCACCGGAGAAGCTCAGCGTTTACCTCTCTGATGATGCTGGATCTGAGCTTACCTTCTATGCTCTAATGGAGGCTTCCAACTTCTCTAAGCAATGGATTCCCTATTGCAAGAAATTCAACATTGAGCCAAGGTCCCCAGGAGCTTATTTTAGTTCAACTCCTGATGTCAGCAGTGGCAGAGATTTCTCCCATGTAAAGGTGAGATGGGAACTACTTTCTTTGAATATTATTCTATTCAACCCGTCTTGTGACCGAGCAAAGTGTCACAATGCAAAGTCAGGTGAGATTGTCCATAGCTGATCAGCTCAAATCAAGAAATGCATATAGGTTGCTCCGACTGAGGGTCAAACTTATAATTATATGTTTACCAAATCATCAGCCTGATCAACTTGACTAGGGTTACCTATGACATGACATTTTTAATTTGGCAGAAGCTGTATCAAGAAATGGAGAACAGAATCGAGAGTGCATGCCAACTAGGAAGAATCCCCACAAATGAATACCATAAGCACACAGGATTTTCTAAGTGGGATCCATCTTCATCTCGTAAAAATCATGCTGCTATCTTGCAGGTGCCATGAATTTTAAACTATTTTTTATTCATTTTGCTGTGTTTATTTAGATGTAGTGTTAATTGAAGCATTCTTATTTATTTATTTATTTGTTTACTTTGAAAAGATTGTAATTGATGGAAGAGAGGAAGAAGGCAAAGACAGTGAAGGGCAGTCATTGCCAACTCTAGTGTACATGGCCAGGGAGAAAAGGCCAAACTATTTTCACAATTTCAAAGCCGGTGCCTTGAATGCATTGGTCAGCTAATTAAACTCCAACAATATAATATACATTACTACCATTTAATTTGCATCTATCACCCCAATATTTTAATCCTAGCTTGTAATAATTGATATATATGCAGATAAGGGTTTCATCAGAGATCAGCAATGCTCCTATCATTCTTACTCTCGACTGTGACATGTACTCAAACGACTCGGGTTCAGTTCAAGATGCGCTTTGCTTCTTCATGGATGAAGAGAAAAGCCACAATATTGCTTATGTACAGTATCCACAGTCTTTCCACAATATTACCAAGAATGAGTTATATGGAGGCTGTTTGAGAATATCCTATGTACAGTACTACACCACACTTGATATGCATTACAGAGTGACAACTCTTTTTCTGTACTATCTTACTTGCATTATATTAATTGTTTTCTGTATAGTTGGTGGAACTTCATGGCATGGATGGCTATGGTGGTCCTTGGTATATCGGAACTGGCTGCTTTCACAGGAGGGAAGCTCTATTTGGAAAGGAATTCAGCAAGGTGGCTAGGAATGAATTATTGAAGAGTGACGACCCTCCTAGAAGAACATATAAAAATGTCGATGAGTTTGAAGAGAGTCTGGAGGAACTAGTGAGCTGCACGTACGAGGAAAACACTCAATGGGGTCGTGAGGTTTCTAATTTTTCGGTTTGAGGCTAAGCGAGTTAACATATATGCACATATGTTGTGATCATCATTGATTTATGTTTTTGATTGGCAGATTGGTATGAAATATGGATGTCTAGTTGAGGATGTGCTGACAGGGTTTTCGATTCTATGCAACGGGTGGAAATCAGTTTATTTTAGCCCGGCAAGAAAGGCGTTTTTGGGTTCCACCGGAACCACTCTGGATCAGGTTCTGCTTCAACAAAAGAGATGGTCTGAAGGAGGCTTTCAGACTCTTTTTACAAAGTATAGTCCAGTTAGGCATGTACTAGGAAAGTTCAACATTGGTCTTACATTGAGTTATTTGCCCTATTGTCTGTGGGCTCCTCATTGCTTCCCAGTTCTATGTTACTCTATTATACCTTCTCTTTACCTACTCAAAGGGGTTCCCTTGTTTCCTCAGGTAATTCGATCAATTCCCTGTGAGATCTAAATATACATAGTATAATCTACGAGAAACTTAATTATGTCGAATATAATGTAGGTCTCCAGTGTGTGGTTTTTGCCATTTGCTTATGTACTAGCCACGACGCTTGCTTACAGCTGTGCTGAGTTCCTCTATACAGGCGGAACGCTTCTAGGCTGGTGGAACGAGCAAAGAATGTGGCTATACAAGAGATTAGGCGCTTACCTCCTCGCGTTTCTTGATATAACGCTGAAGTTGGTGGGGTGTTCGAGTTCAACGTTTGTAATCTCAGCAAAGGTGTCGGACGAGGATGTTTGTGTGAGGTATGAGCAGGAGATGATGGAGTTTGGGAGTGATTCTCCCATGTTTACCATCTTGTCATCTGTGGCTATGCTCAATGCCTTCTGCTTTGTTTGGGCAGTGAAGAAAATGGTGACAGAAAGATTATTTGTGGTGTTTGAGAATGTAGGGTTGCAGATTGTACTTTGTGGGGTGCTGGTTTTGATCAATTTGCCAATATACAATGCTATGTTCTTCAGGAAAGATAAGGGAAGGATGCCAAACACAGTTACTTATAAAGCAATTGTTGTAGCTCTCTCTGCTTCCACTTTTTTCACTTTTTTGTAATCCCAATTCTACTAACTTCAATATCTCATGGCTTTGGTACAAATATTTATCAATAATAATGTTAATATTTCTTATTGTTGATTAGTTAGTTGGACAACAGGTCGTCAACCTGTAGTATGACAATTGAAGCAAGTGTTTCATCTCAATTAAGACTGATAGATGAATTGCACATTTATATTTACATATATATAGATATAGATATGCTCGATTGTCACTACCAAAACTTTAATTCTACGTACGCAACTGTCCAGGCCGTTCAGCCAGTCTATATAGTAAAGACTTTTCTGACGTTGATTACCCAATTCAAATTCTACGTACGCAACTACACAGGCCATTCAGTCAATCTCTATAGTAAAGAGTTTTTTGTACGTTATTCAAAATCTGACAAAACTAAGCTCTTCAATTTATAGTGGCACTGTGGCGACTAAGGATTCTCTGCTTAATTTATTCACGAAACTGGAAAGAAGAAAGCCATTATTCTTGCGTGCTGGAGAAATGGAAGGCGAGTTAGTGGAGAATGGCAAGTATGAGCCTTTATTTGAAAGCAGGATAGCAAAGGGGAGGCTGCTTTACCGCCTTTTCTCGGCTTCCATTTTTGTGGGAATTGTTTGTGTTTGGATTTATAGAGTGATTCACATTCCAGAAGCTGGAGAATATGGAAGAAGAATGGGTTGGATGGGGATGTATGGCGCGGAGTTATGGTTTGGGGTTTACTGGATTTTCACTCAGGCTCAGCGTTGGAGGCCTGTGTTTCGTCAACCTTTCAGACAAACACTCTTGAAAAGGTCGGTCTAGATACTACTCCCATGGTTCCAACAGAACTGAAAACTGTCTGGTTTTTGTTTCTTTTACTAAGGTTTTGGTTTGTTTATTTTTATTTTTTGTCTTCTCCTTCTGGCATAAGAAACAGGTATGGGAAGGCTTTGCCAAGAGTGGATGTGTTTGTATGTACAGCAGATCCTGCAACAGAGCCGCCACTCATGGTGGTGAACACTATTTTGTCCGCCATGGCATACGACTACCCACCGGAGAAGCTGAGTGTTTACCTCTCTGATGATGCTGGATCTGAGCTTACCTTCTATGCTCTAATGGAGGCTTCTAACTTCTCAAAGCACTGGATTCCATACTGCAAGAAATTCAACATTGAGCCCAGGTCCCCAGCAGCTTATTTTAGTTCTACTCCTGATGTCAGCAGCGGCAGAGATTTCTCCCATGTAAAGGTGAGATGGGAACATATATGCTTAGAATATTATTATTCTAGTGTATTATATTGTCACTTGAAAATAATTTTGACAAGCAGATGCTGTATCAAGACATGGAAAACAGAATTGAGAATGCATGCCAACTTGGAAGAATCCCCAAAGATGAATACCATAAGCACACAGGATTTTCAAAGTGGGATTCATCTTCATCTCGTAAAAATCATGCAGCTATCTTGCAGGTGCCATGAATTTTAAACTTTCTTGTTCTTCATTTTGGCTGTGTTTATTTAGATGTAGTGTGAATTGAAGCATTCTTATTTATTTTACTTTGAAAAGATTGTAATTGATGGAAGAGAGGAGGAAGCCAAGGACAGTGAAGGCCAGTCATTGCCAACTCTAGTTTACATGGCCAGGGAGAAAAGGCCAAACTATTTTCACAATTTCAAAGCTGGTGCCTTGAATGCATTGGTCAGCTAATTCAACTCCAACAATATAATTTACATTACTAACATTTAATTTGCATCTATCACCCCGGTATTTTAATCTTGTAATTGATATATATGCAGATAAGGGTTTCATCAGAGATCAGCAATGCTCCTATCATTCTTACTATCGACTGTGATATGTACTCAAATGACTCGGGTTCAGTTCAAGACGCGCTTTGCTTCTTCATGGATGAAGAGAAAAGCCACAATATTGGTTATGTACAGTACCCACAGTCTTTCCACAATATTACCAAGAATGATTTATATGGAGGCTGCTTGAGAGTAATCTATGTATAGTACTAAACACATTTGATATACTTACAGACTGCATTTCAGAGTAACATCTTTTTATATGTACTATCTTACTTGCATTGTTTCTATATATATAGCATGTGGAATTTCATGGATTGGATGGTTACGGTGGTCCTTGGTATATTGGAACCGGATGCTTTCACAGGAGGGAAGCCCTATGTGGAAGGGAGTTCAGCAAGGCAGCAAGGAATGAATTGAACAGTGACCCTCCTAGAAGGACACATAAAAATTTAAATGAAGTTGAAGAGAGTCTGCTGGAACTAGTCAGCTGCACCTATGAGGAAAACACGAAATGGGGCTATGAGGTTTCGATACCATTTTCTGCATTGAAAATTTTGAAGATATATATATATATATCTTCTAGTCATCATTGATTTATGTTTTTTTATTGGCATGCAGATTGGTATGAAATATGGATGCCTAGTTGAAGATGTGCTGACAGGGCTTTCGATTCTATGCAATGGGTGGCGATCAGTTTACTTTAGCCCGGCAAGAAACGCGTTTTTAGGTGTGACAGGAACCATTCTGGATCAGATTTTGGTTCAGCAAAAGAGATGGTCTGAAGGAGACTTGCAAACTCTTTTTTCAAAGTTTAGTCCAGTTAGGCATGGATTAGGAAAGTTCAACATTGGTCTTATATTGAGTTATTTGCCCTATTCTCTGTGGCCTCCAAATTGCTTCCCAGTTCTGTATTACTCTATTGTACCTTCTCTTTACCTACTCAAAGGTGTTCCCTTGTTTCCTCAGGTAATTCAATTCAATTCAATTCCCACCGAAAATATTTATTTTTCTCTGTTATTTTACAACAGTTAGTTTACAGATCATCATCATGTCCCAAATGTAGGTATCCAGCCTGTGGTTTTTGCCATTTGCTTATATAGTAGTCGCGACACTTGCTTACAGCTGTGCCGAGTTCCTCTGGACAGACGGAACACTCCTCGGCTGGTGGAACGAGCAAAGAATGTGGCTCTACAGGACAACAAGCGCTTACCTCTTTGCGTTTCTCGACACAATGCTCAAGTTGGTGGGCTGTTCAAACTCCTCAACATTTATAATCTCACCCAAGGTGTCGGACGAGGATGTTTGTGTGAGATATGAGCAAGAGATGATGGAATTTGGAAGTGATTCTCCCATGTTTACCATCCTCTCATCTGTGGCTATGCTCAACCTCTTCTGCTTTGTTGGGACAGTGAAGAAAATGGTGACCCAAAGATTTGTGTTTGAGTATGTGGGGTTGCAGATTGTACTTTGTGGAGTGCTGGTTTTGATCAATTTACCAATATACAATGCTATGTTCTTCAGGAAAGATAAGGGAAGGATGCCAACCACAGTTACTTATAAAGCAATTCTTGTAGCTCTGTCTGCTTGCACTTGTTTCACTTTTATGTAATTCCAATTCCAATTCCAATTCTACACCTTCACTCCCTGGGTGGGTGGCATAGGTGCAATATCTCTTGCCAGGAAGACTAACAATAGCTCAGTATACTGCTTTAATTTGGTACAAATATTTATCAATAATGTAAGCATTTCTCATTGTTGATGGTTATTTATAGGGCTAATATATATAGGGGCGCGCTCTAATGCAAACGGTCACACAGGAGAGAACTGAGAACCATTCAACGTCGTTCACGTGTCCAGATCAATGAATTAGATGTAATTTTAAAAAAACAACGCGGTTGCATTTTCGTAAATAACTCAAACTTTGGTGCATGTAAATGTGTTATAAATGCAAGTAGTTGGTGCACCGTTGCAAGGAAAAATGCAGGTAAAATCAATTACAAGTGCATGTAATTTTGCCTTTGTTAACATTCATGCATTTATGTGCAACTACTTATAACAATAGGTGCACCTAGTTATAATGTCAGGTGCACTTAATTTTTATGCTCAGTATAAATTTTACTTGCACTTGTAATACATTTTATCTCCTGGGCGACCGTTCGCATGAGAGCGTGCCCATATATATATATATATATATATATATATATATATATATATATATATATATATATATATATATATATATATATATATATATATAAAAGAATGGATAGTTATGCCATGGACCTGGGTCCACCTTGCAAGGTGGACCCAAGTCCAAAACGACGCAATTTGCACGTGTGAAAATGACAGTGTTGTTAGTGGCACCGTTTTCACAGCTAATGTTTTTTTTTTTTTTTTTAATATTGAAAACAACTCAACGAGTGAATATTGAGTTATGTAATTGTGAATATAGACTTCTTTAATTGTGAATATAGGATTATGAAATTGTGAATATAGAGTTCTGCAGTTGTTAATATTGAGTTTTGTAATTTTGTATATTGAGATCTAATATTATTAATATAGAGTTCAAAAATTGTAAATATAGAGTTATGTAATTGTGAATAATATAGAGTTCAAAAGTTGTGAATATAAAGTTATACAATTTTGTATATTGAGATTAAAAACTGTGAAATATAGAATTCAAAAATTGTGAATATAAAGTTCTGCAATTGTGAATATTGAGTTCTGTAATTTTATATATTGAGATATAAAATTGTGAATATAGAGTTCAAAAATTGTGAATGTATAGTTCCAAAATTGTGAATAGTCCTCGTGCCGGGTCCATAGCATAATTTGCCTATAAGAATGGGGGTTGAGTTATTGCGTGTACCGTGGTCCACAGTTAAAAAAACGACGTCATTTCGTGTAAATTTTTTTCACGCGACCTATTGAAACATATATTTTTATAAATTATATATAATGCACATTATTTTAATTTATAAAATATATTATCTTATTCTAACACATAATATACATTATTCTAACACATAAAATACATTATTCTAACTCATAATATACATTATCCTAACTTATAAAATTCAACGATGTAATTTTGGACCGTAATCGGCGATCCACCCAATAATTTACCTTGGTTAGGCAATAGGCGGGAAAGCTCATTTTGCCAGTCCAAGAAAGTTATCCGTTCTACCAATCAAAACCACCCTCGCTCCACACAAATTTCAGACCAGAAATTATTTTTAACTACAAGGAAGATTACAAAGAAAAAAACATGCGAAATCCATATGACAATTGACAACAGGTCCTCATTATTCGTCAACCTGCAGTGTCACTACAAAAACATTAATTCAACGTACGTACGCTATTAAAAAAAAAAAAAAAAAGTACGTACGCTGCCATGCCAGCCCGTCATTAATCCAACGTACGCACAATCTGTCTATGATATCTATCAAATAGTAAAGATTATTCACAAAACTGGAAAGAAGAAAGCCATTCTTGCTTCTGGAGAAATGGAAGGCGAGTTAGTGGAGAATGGCAAGTATGAGCCTTTATTTGAAAGCAGGATAGCAAAGGGGAGGCTGCTTTACCGCCTTTTCTCGGCTTCCATTTTTGTGGGAATTGTTTGTGTTTGGATTTAAAGACTGATTCACATTCCAGAAGCTACTGGAGAATATGGAAGAAGAATGGGTTGGATGGGGATGTACGGGGCGGAGTTATGGTTTGGGATTTACTGGGTTTTCACTCAGGCTCAACGTTGGAACCCTGTGTTTCGTCAACCTTTCAGACAAACACTCTTGAAAAGGTCGGTCTACATAGATATTACTCCCATGCATCCTGTTAAGCCTATATGTAGCTAGTATGATAAGCTAGTATGATATTTAGTTATTATTTGTTCTATTTATGTTCTTTAGACTAGCTATGTTTGAATTGTGGTTACAACTCTCTGCTATTTACTCTCCTGTATGTACTATATATATAGATGATAGTTTACATCAATAAAGTCACAATTAATTTCCTCACATGGTATCAAGAGTCATATTCCCCTAAAGAGTTTTTTTGTCTCTTCTCTTTCGACATTCTTATATCAATGGATACAACCACCAATGACATTGTCCAGCTTAATGCTCCATTTAATTTTCCTATCAAACTCACCTCCCTCAACTTTCCTGTCTGGAGACGCCAAGCTCAGTCCACCCTGATTGGCTTTAATCTCCTCGGATACATCGACGATTCTGTCAAAGAACCAGCTAAATTCAATGATACTGCACAAACAACTCCACACCCGGCACATTTAACTTGGTATCGCCAAGATCATATAATTACCCGTGCTTTATTTGGGAGCTGTTCAGACACCATACAACCCCTTATAGCTTCAATTCCGCATCCACTGCTTGTGATGCCTGGCAACGGCTCGTTGCTAGCTATGCTAGTGCCTCCCGATGACGGATCATTTCCCTCAAGGCCAAGCTTACCAGAAATCCGAAGGGTAATCGGTCAGTCACTGCATTTTTTAACGACATGCGGTCCATAGCTGACGATCTCGCCCTTGCTCAATGCCCTGTTTCTGATGAAGACATGGTTGTGTACATTTTAACACAGTTAGGGGACGCGTATAGCTCCATCGTCTCTGATGTTCGTATTCGTGACAAGCCCAACCCATTTCCTTGGAAGAATTAGCCGATGTCCTCATGGATCATGAACGTTAGTTGGCTGAAGCCAATTATGCTCGCCAGTCTCTACTGGCCACTGCTAATGCCACTCAACGTGGTCCTTCGACTTCCCGAAATAATCAGCATTCATCCGCCAATCGGAGGCCCCGCAACAACAACAACATGTACGCCAATAATAGACAAAATTGGTCGCACAATGGCGTTGTGTATCAATTTTGTCACCTAGGTGGCCATGAAACTCGTGTTTGCCGTATGCTAGCCCGGTTCTTAAAGGCCCATAACGTGTTTTCCGTGCAGGCACCTTCATTTTCTCAGTCTTAGTCTCCTACAGCTAATTCTGCCGTGACTCCACCGTGGATGTTTGACAGCGGGGCCTCTCACCATGCCACACCAGATATGACTCCTCTGCAGGCCTTCACTAAGTACAATGGTCCGGATGGTATACGCCTGGGCGACGGTATTTCTTTAGAAATTTCTCACATTGGTCAGTCCTCTATTCCCGCTCCCTATTCCGTGCTCACTCTTTAAAATGTCCTACGTGTGCCACAGTTGCGTAATAATTTAATTTCCATATCGCAGTTGTGCAAAACTAACCAAGTGTCGGTTGAAATTTTTGATTCCTACTTTCTTGTAAAGGATCTTTGAACGGGGATGTTACTGCTACGAGGGGCAAATATTGATGGTGTCTACTATGGACCACTCCTGCGTCAACCCACAGTCAATTCCATGCAGCTGTCACGCGTGTCTTAGTGGCACCATCGACTTGGCCATCCGTCCAATAAGGTGTTACATCTTGTGTTGCAACACTGCAAACTGCAACGTTCCAACATCTATGTCGCCGTTAAATAAATTTTCCTGTCAATCGTGCAATGTATATAAAAGTCATAAGTTACCTTTCTCTAAAAGCACTCGAGGCCCCTGCAATTGGTTTACACTGATGTGTGGGGCACATCGGAAAAATCGGTTGATGATTTTGCGTATTATGTTATATTTGTTGATCACTTTCTAGATACATCTAGTTATATCCTTTAAAACGAAAGTCTGATGTTTCGTTGATATTTCCTCAGTTTAAAAGATTAGTGGAGAAATTCTTTGGTCTGCCAATTGTCTTAGTGTATTCTATCAATGGCGGGGAGTTTATTAAATTAATACCGCTGCTTAATGCTCATGGCATTTTGCATTTTACAACTCCTCCACATACACCTGAGCACAATGGCATGGCTGAACGGCGACACAAGCATGTCGTCGAAAATGGGATGTCACTTCTCCACGCTGCTTCTTTGCCAACCTCGTACTGGTCTCACGCGTTTCAGGCTGTTGTCTATGTAATTAATCGACTTCTAACACCAGTGTTAGGTAATCAATCTCCTTACCAAATTCTATTCAAACAAACACCAAACTACGATAAATACAATCGTTTGGTTGTTTGCGCTTCCCTTGGTTACGTCCTTATAACACACACACACACACAAAAAAAAAAAAAAAAAAAAAAAAAACTTGAACCAAGGTCGCGGCCATGCATTTTCTTAGGATATTCAAACACACAGTCATTCAGCCTATAAATGTCTCGTCTTCGTCTCAAATCGACTCTATTTATTGAGGCATGTGCGTTTTATTCCTAATGTTTTTCCTTCCAGAGAGTTATAGGTCAAGTCTGATAATACAACTGAGTGCCAGTCTGTCAATCAACCATAGCTTTTGTTCAAGTCACATCTATCATCCACAGAGCCGCCGTTTGGAACCCCTTCCGCTTCGCCTGCTCTGTCCACTCCTGTTGTGTCTCCAGCTGCGTCTCTCCCGCTGGACCTTGCCTCACCATAGTCCGTCTCACCGTCTTCGTCCCTAACCAACCGTGTTTCGTCGCCTCCTCCGCCTCGTTCGTCACCCGTTTCTGCCGACGTCGAACCACCCTCTTAGTCAGTCACCACCTCCGATTCTTCCCAACTGCGTGATGGGTTGCGTCGCTCCACTAGGTCGCGTCGTCCAAATCCCAGGTACACTGACTATGTCGTCAACCTCATTACAGCTCATCCCCTCCCACCCACTTTAGACCCTTCTACCGTCGCTTAGGCCTTGAAGGATGCT